GGGGGTCTCGTCACGAAATCACGAAGATCATTTTTCGATTTCACGAGTCACGAAAAACAAAATTTCATTTTCACGATTTTTAGAAACACAGAAGCGTAACAAAGTCTGAAACCATTTAAGACATATTGACTTTAACATTAGAGCCGTTTAAAGGACAATGGAAATCATTGCGAGGCATTACGAAACATTACGAGCATCGTACGATGGTCCACGAAGTTTACGAAGAGGTACGAAGGTATACGATAACGACGTTTATCCATGAAAGACAACCGCGGGAAGCAAATTTATTAATTTTTCCCCCATAATATTACATTTGGGCCGAGTTTTAAACGTAAACATTCACAAGTTAGGATAAAATATTTGTAAATTGAAGACCCTAGCTAGCCTTTTAGCACTTCACGATTCACGGCACGCATATTAATCACGATTCACGGAATGGTATTTCTTTAAATCACGAAGCACGAATGATTGCTAATCACGAGTCACGAAAATACCCTTGCCCCCCCCCCCTCATTGTAAAAAAGCGCCTTAATTTTGTTGCTTCTGTTAGGCAGAATTAAATGACATGCACTTGCTGACATTTTCGTACTTTAAATAGTGTTTTGTATTGAAAATAATCCCCGTTTTACTTATAAACTAACCTGAAGTTATAACCTATAAGAGGTTCACACGTAGATATGGCAGATTGGCATTCGACGAATAGTAATGTGTAAGCATTCACATGAATAGACCTTGGCTACGTGTTAGCTTTTTAGTAAGTAAAACGGGGATTATTTTCATTATAAAAAACAAGTCAGCATGATTTAGAGTATGAAAATGACAGCAAGTGAATGTCATGTAATAGCCCCGCTTAATAATATTTTAATCGAGTGATCCATGAGCACTTTCATCCAATCACAATGCTAAACAGTTCATTTTAATTAGATGCAAGCACTCGCAGCGAGCTTCGAGGAGCTTCGTGCGAGGACTGGAAAACCGCCTTTAGGGTAGTTATCACTATACAGAGAAGCACCAAAACTAAGGCGCTTTTTTTACAATATTTCCAAACGTTTCACGCAAGGGACGGTGAATAGCCTATCATACATACGTATTGAATGCTGATTAATTAAAAAATTCTATCGCTAAAAATTCAAACAGTTGAAAACATATTCACTTCACAGATCTAAGGCTGGTATACTTTAATTTAGGGTATTATAATTAGTTGCGGTAGTAATCATGTGTTTAAAAAAATGCTCCGCCGTCCGTTGTCCGCCTATTATCTACACCCTATTTCGAAATCGTAAAAAAATGAAAGATAACTGAAACTTCATCGTTAAAAATAGACGAGCCGTAGGTAACAAACATTATAAATATGTCAAATGTCTTATAAATCTAAAATAACGTGATAAATGTAAATATTAAGCATTAGGTTCTCATTATTCGGCAGACCATATATATATTGTATAGAATATCCATGATGATGTTTCAAGAATATTCAGCTGGTTTAGGAATTTATAATATAACATGCAAAATATGATCAAGGAATGTATAGCATGACTAAAGCTGCCGTAGTAATTGGCATTTATTAAACCCTTACTAGTCGTAAACTGTTCATATAATGCGTTATATAGAGTTGTTTCTATTGCATCCATAAATTCTCAGGATGATCATATACCGAAATTAGACAAACTGGTTCCCACCTGACTTTTTAAGCCAGTTTTCCACTTGCGAATGTTTTCGCCCAAAGAGAATTGTCTTTATCCAATTTAGTTCCCAATGGTTCCAGTTGAGAGACCAAAGACAAACGGAAAAATTCGCTTCGCGCGAACAAGACTCTTTTACATCTGATCACTCATAAGAATTTATTCGCAATCTAGTCGAACCAGATGGGAACCAACCCTGGCTAAATAACAAAATTTTACCATGTAATATACAAGCGAATTAAATTCATTTTGACAAACAAATTTGGTCGCAACACAACAAACTACTAAAACGGATCTTATAACGTACAAACAACAACAGTGAACCGAAAGCAGTTTGTCTTTCTCGCTATGCACACGCAAATAGTTGTTATTGTAATATTGATAATTCAAACTGATAATTAGTATAAACAAGTGATGAAGTTGAAAACCGTTTGTTGTTGAGACGCGCTGCAGAGAATTTCAGTTACAGACTACTCTCAATGTTATATAAAACTGTTTCACTCCCTGAGGTAGTTCTAGATGCAGAAGATACTTCGTCACTGAAATTCCGTATTTGGATAAGATCAAGGCTTCTTCTCCGTTTCATTTGATAATGTTACAAAACTACAATAATGTAAGCTATCCCAGGGAGAGGGTGGCGACCGGGATCATGAGTATTATAAAGGCAAGTGTTTTCTGTTTTTCTACACTGGGGGCGATAGACAAAGATGTGGGAACCAGAGATGCTGATGAAGAAACGTAAAATTGCAGTCCAGCTGTAGAGAGAGATGTGTCTACGGTAGTGGTTGCTCTGCCTCCGGTTAGTGGCGAGTTTGTGCTGGTCATGTTAAAAGAATAACAGTCACTGATGACGTGCAGTGCTCGTGTGCTAATGCTTTTGACTACTCCACAGTTGATGGGGTTTTCACGAAGATCCATGTGGCGTAAATTTGGGAAATCCTGTGTCAACATCGTTATATTTATGCAACTGATACTGTTTTTCTTTAAATCCAATACAGTTACCCAAATCTTTGGCTTGTCAGGTTGTGGAACTCTCACCATGTTCTGCCTAGAACAGTCTAGTAGACTAATGAATTCTACTTCAATGCATGCACACTGAAATGTTTTGCAAGCGGCAGCCAAAACCACAGCTAAAACGATGAAAAGCAAAGTTGACATTTTTCATAGATCTATCATCTGATCTAAATTCTAAAAATACGAGTGATACACAGTAGCCCAGGCATAGACTTGCCCAAGTCGCTCGCTAGGGACCGCGCGTAGCAAGAAGGGAGCGCTTGAGAAAGACGGAAGCGAGCGACTTGTGTCACTTGCCTGATTTTGAATCTTACTGAAAAATTTAGCGCGAAAATCAATTATGAGATAGTGGGCGTTCACCATGTCAATTTCACTAGTTACTCGCTGGGGCCTTTCGTGGAGTGGCCAAAATATTTCAAACAATTTCGTTAAAATTTTCAACGAATTGTAGCTGTTTTTATGGATTTTGCATTGTGTCTAACTCTAGACATTCTTGCCAGTTTAGTTAATGCGTTTTTCTTTGTGCACGACTCTGAAAATCCGAAATTTGGGTCGTCGAATTCCCGTGCACGATCATAATATACTGAATCTGAATATAAACGAAGCAAAGACAATTTCAAGGTAAAATTATAACTTACAGTAAACTACACAACTTACTTTTACTGTAATAGATAACTACTTTACGAGAAGTCATATCAATATAAAATTTATCCAACAACAGTCCCTATATTAAATTGTTGTTAATAGCTGTGGAAACGTGAAAACTGTAGTGTGAAATATATTGTATTTGTAATGGCTAATGGCGCAATAAGGATAAAAATACCAACGTTCGATTTAGCGTAAGAAATTGTACTTACGGAAGTCAAATGTATTACTAAACAACGGTATTCTAGCGATTTATGGCCATTCAAAATCAAGCGAAATTGTATTGTTTACAAATCGTTTGCAATACGTATTCATGTTGACACTCAGACCCCGTTTACACGGTATCGGCGAATTTGGGACTGGACGAAAATTCGTCCTTTTTCGCCTGTTTACACTAGGCCGTATTCCCTGGCCCCAAAAGCCGCTTAGAAAACGATTTTTGTTGCCCCCCTTCGGGCACTACTTTAAATTTACATGAATCTATAGATTTTTATATGCTGAGTTCGAATTCACTTGTTGTCACTCGCACAAACCTGCAGTTTTTTTGTATTTTACGATCAAACATCAATATTTTTTTATTAACATTTCCGCCATTTTGTTCAGGAAACTTCATGTTATATACAGTTATTGTACTATGTTTGTGATGTTACTCTGAGTGCATATCCACACCGGGCGAGCTTGAAAAATATGCCCGGCCACGGTGGGATTCGAACCTACGACCTTTGGAATACTAGCCCAATGCTCTCCCAACTGAGCTACGCGGTCAGGACGGTTCGAGTAAGTGATATTTCGAAACAGTATCTAGTTCCTTCAATACCAATGTGTTCTTGTAATATGAATTTTTTCTGTGCTGGTGTTGTGTACTCAGGTGAATAATATGTTTGTGATGTTATTCTGAGTGCATATCCACACCGGGCGAGCTTGAAAAATATGCCCGGCCACGGTGGGATTCGAACCTACGACCTTTCGAATCCCACCGTGGCCGGGCATATTTTTCAAGCTCGCCCGGTGTGGATATGC